ATATACACACATATATATATATATATATATATATATATATATATATATGTATTTCCTTGCTTTTAACCGTTTATATTTATAGAAGATATTGAGGGGGGCACTTTCTATTCCTCCCCTTAGAACATTGCACGACATTTAAATTTCACTCGTTTCCATTCGCCAGTGGTAACATTCGACTGTGGTACTTCTTCTTATAGCCCTGTATTTTGCTGAGATCGAAGAACTTTAACTTATCAGCCTCCACCATGTGCCTTCGTATTATCTGTAAGGCGGCGATGTTGTAATCTATGCGGCTGACAGTCTGGTCGAGGCCGTATGAGATGACCCGGCGCAACTTCTCCAGACGGCGTGCACCGTGGACCTCGGATATATCGCCATGAATGGCAGCCATGCGCAGCCCTATACTACTCGATGCTTCCCCTGGGGCGGGCATCACTAAGGCCAGCAACATCTTAGCCACGATTTCGTAACTCTGCACCGCCTTGTTCTCGACCATCCCATCCAGGTAGTCCAGCAGTGCATGCACATGAATGCTTGTCAAGCAAGAAAGCACGTGACGCAGCTCACTGGGCCGAATACTCTCAATCACCGACCAGAGATACGCCCACTCTGTGCAGCTAGCCAGCAAAGGATGCCGTGTGGTCGTGATGTCCTCCTTGTTCTGCTGCCTTTGAAGCTCCACACTAACCAGATCGAGGGCCTCCATCAGCCGCTCTGCAGCCTCCGCGGTAGCGGCGGTCTGCTGACCCGCAAGTGTCGCCTCCAACCCGTCGTGCTGCTGCTGGGCGAGCTTCTGCAGGGTTGCCCGCTGGGCCACCTCGTCATCCATGGCCTCCTGCGCCATCCGCTCCTCTTCCTCCGCGGGGAAGACGATGTCCTGCGTGCGCAGGAGACACCGAATGCACTTATCAACCCCCGCGGTCACAACACAGGTACCATTTCGTGTGATCGCGATGGCCCATAGGCCGCGTTGGTGCTGTCGGAAGAGCTGAATCATCGTCCAGTTATCACCGTCCCACTGTTTTACTGAGCCATCCATGGAAACCGTAAAGACGTAGTGGGTGTCCTTCACGAACTCAACCTGTGTGATGTAATCGTCATGAGCGTGGATGGCGCGATGGCAGTCACCGAAGTCGGTGCCCCAGAAACGCAGGGACTTATCCATCCCAACAGAGGCAACTAGAGTCCCATCCGTCGAGAAGGATAGCGAAGTCGGCGGAAGTTTGTGCCCAAAGAGCAATAAGTACGGCTTCAGAGTGTCAGCAAAAAAAAGCTGAATGTTGTGGTTTTTCAGGCCCACGCCCAGGAACTTCTCATCTGAACTAAGCTTCGCAAATAATGGAAGTTCTGCAAGCTCAATCTCCGTAGATAGCAGTAATGTGACTCGCTTCAGATTCGTGGAGCTGCTGGGCTTTGAGGCACGATTGTCTCCATTGTTCTCGAGACCCGCCGCCACTAATCCCAGCGTCCACAATACCACACGGCGGTCCGAACCAAGTGTTAGAAATCCAGACTTGTCTGGGCGCTCCACAACAGTCCTCACACCACCAACATGGAATAGTGGCTCTACAAACGTGATTTCCGAAGCCGTCGCATCCGCCAAACACACGGTGCCATTGTTGAGGCCTACACAGCAGAGACTCGAGGAGATTGCTGCCATTGAGACTGCCTCTGCGGCGGCATCTCCAGTCTCCTCCCAGTCCACACTGCTATTATAGCACTTGAGGGATCCCTTGAAGGTGATGCGCGACAGGTTGGCTTCCTTGGAGTCGTAAAAGTCATGATCATCTAAGTGCTCACGCTCGAGAAGGTCCCCCTTCACTGAAAGTCTCCACAAGAGCAACTTTTCCTTACTTAGTGATAGGAGCGCGGAGTCGTTGTCCACGAAACTGAGAGCTCTGATTTCACTCTGATGGACTTGCTGCCCGAGTGTGTAACGAACTTTGAGGTCCTCAAGGGACCACGTCGCTGAGCCCTCCGCATCGTTCAACATCAGGCGTGTTGTGTAAGTTTTAATTGAGTTGTTGTTGAAAAGAACCGCAATATGAAGCATGTCGCTGGCGTCATCATCGTTGGCGTCGTGCAAGGCTTGTGGCATCGGAACAAAGCAGGCGGCCCGCACTTTGTGTTCGGTAAGAAAGAAAGTCCGAAGTAACGCGACTTCCTCTGAAGCGGTGGCGTAATGCCTTTCTCCATTTTCCTCATCTGAGGCGCTCTCTGGTGCGTCGCCTTCACTCTTATCGCTATCCTTGGTCTCCCTCACCCGTTTGTGTGTGCGCCGCTTTAGGGGTTCCATGTTGAGTCCATTGCTATCCTTCAAAGGGTCACCCTCTCTCGTTATGTCTTCGTGTGATTCATCAATTTGACGTCCCTGTCGCCTCCCCAACGCTTCACGCTGGCGCTTCTTCTTCCGAGTAACCTTTTTCCGCACACCCTCAGCGCTTAGCATGCGGAACACCTCCACTGTTTTGCTCGTGCATGCTAGCATATAGTTCGAGTCTGGTGAGAATTTCAGTGCTGTGATCGGCTTGTAGTATCGGCGCGCGATTGAACCATTATCAACGATAAAACTACTTTCAGTATCCTTTCCAGAGATTGACGCCGCAGCGGTTGCCCTACTGACCGCGGTTAAGGAATTTTCATCACCATTGCCGTAATTTAACTTATACACTTTGATTACGCTCTCACGCAGGCCGCAGTAAAGCCGCAGGCCCTCGCAGTCTGCCACCATGGTGGTGATTTGTGCATCGGAGGCGACAATTGTCTGAACGCACTGCCGCAGCGCTACATTCCACACCTTCATCAGACCATCCGCACTCGCGCTAACGAGGAGTTCGCTTGCCCTCGGCGGCAGGAAGAGCGACACGACGCCGCCGCGGTGACCACTTAGGGAAAAATCTGCCTCATGGCTCACGAGGTCCCACACTGTGATGTCCGTGTCCTGGCCGGCGCTGCACAGAGTCATCCGTCCGGCGTCGACAGCCAGCGCCAGGACCCTCGTGTCCACCTTGTGGCCAAGCGCGTAAAAGCGGCATACCGGTGCGCCGTAGTTGTTCATGGGGCCGCAGGAAAACACCGCGACGTAGCCGTTGGAATAGCCAACCGTCAGGAGCCAGCCATGCTGTTCGATGCTTTTCTGCGGCTTCACAATGGCGAGGCCGCCGTGCGGCCCAGGCGCACCGTCCCCAGCATCGAGCGACACCACCTGAAGACAGGTCACCTCAAGCGGGAGTTTGGCTTCAGCAGGGATTAGCGTGTGCATTAAGGCTCCGCTGCGCACTGAAAAGACGCGGACCGCCTCCAACGAGGGGACGAAGAGGACCGACAGGGCTGCCGCTGGTAAGTGTTGCTGCTCCTTTCCCCCACGGCGCCCATTGCCTCCACGAGTAAACAGAGCGTAGTCCGGCCTAATCACTGCAGAGTCCATCGTCAGGGAGGCATTACTAGCTAGTGCCCCTCCCTGTGGACCGACCACATAGCGTAGATAGGTCTTTCCGACCATCGTTCACTTATATACCTATATGTGGTTTCCTTTGTTTTTTAAAGTTTCACTTCCTCGATTTCAGCTAAACTAGTGTTGTTGATACCAAGAAAAGATAGGAAATATGAAGTTTTTAAAGATTTGCATGTCTATACCGAAAAAATGAAGCGTAAAAGTCCTTGCATGCGGAGATGTTGACATCATCCACATTATCAATAGTAAACGAAAGAGTGCTATCATGGAAACTATTTCTTAACTCACATTTCATTTCCACCAATGTACACACTATAGTCAAAGCAGATGGAAGATATCAGATCAGTCCCCCTAACCGGTTTTCCAACATCCATAGACCCTTTTCGTACATAATTCCCCGGACCCGCGCACTCGTCTGCCGTGAAGTCACTTCAAATTCAAAGCGAACCTTGCGTCGATAATATTCGTTGTCTGTGATCACTAAGTGCTTATTGCCTTTCTTAAGAAGTTGACGATATAGGGTGCACGCTTGGTGTGTGGTAGGTTCAACAGGAGGGAGATAGCGGCTAGCCTCAAGCCGCTTGCGCTCAAGGGCAGCGCGCTTCAAGTTGGCCCGCGTAAAGTCTGGCGATCCTTCTCTCCACCACCGAACGCCGCCTCTCAAAAGCCTACAAGAGCATTGCAGCATGCCTTTATTATTACTCTTAAGTGATACCTTTATATAAATTCGAAGACTTATCAAAAATATTGCGGGTGCAACACTTCTTTAACCTTGATTTTTCCTTTCAGTACTGTTAAGGAAATAAATTTATATTGTAAAACTAGGTACTGACGCATATAAAAAGGGATTCTGAGCTGGCTTGTGTCCGATTCATCGTGCCATTTAGCCAGAAATTTATATATTTTTTTTAAACCTTCCCAGCGCGTCGATCATGTGCGCTTTACGAAACCAAGTAAAAAGTCAGAATACTACGAAAAGTTGAGTCGGTTGTTGGGATTTCGATGAGCGAGCATCTTACCCCACCGCTCCTCATAGCTCATTGCCTCAGCACTTATCAACGATTCATTAAATTCTGCCACGAGATCCTTCGCAACGCGATCGTACAGTACCACATTAACAGAGGCTGAGAGGTTGACACTACCATAAGTTGGTATAAACACCACCTCTTTGCATTGGTCGAGAAAGCACTTCGAAATGGAGCTATCTTCGGCACCAAAGAGGTAAAATACAAGCGATGCCGTGATGGATTCGTCAAGTTGATGGGCTTCTGGAGTTTGTCGTGATGGTGAAACTGCAGACTCATCGGCATCAACCGTTGTGGATGCCTGCAGCCAGTCGGGATTCGGTTTCGTTGGGTGGTTGAGTTGTCGGGCAAATTTGACCTCAGTGGGAACCAGAGTCCCTTCTTCATCTTGCCGAGAGGTATGTGGAGACCCGGAATGAGTACTCGAAGCGAGTGAGAACGGATGCACAAAATTTTGTAGTGGTGTGGCTCCCCTCGCGAGCTCCACCGCTACCACCGCCACCTCGTCACCTCCCGCGGTTCGTACTCGTCGTTCCTTTAGGACATCAAATAACACCTGCAGGGAGGGGAGACACAGCTGAGGGATAAACGCGGCCGCCCCTTGCGTATCCGTGCCGGTTATCAGAGGAACCATCCTCTCGCAGGACGGCTTCGTTGAGGGTTGGCTATTGCGCTGCCGCTGCGCCACCACCGCCCGCGCGAGCCGCTCACCACTGAAGATGAAACCCGCGGCGGCGCTATGTTGGGAGCGCCGGCTCTGAACCCCCTCCTCGGGGTTCATCGGATCCAGAAGGCATCCCATGGCGCGAAGGATCCCCCCCACGTTCGCCGGTGTTTTGGGATTCTCGACGACGACAAACACACGCGGGACGGCGGCCCCGCCGCGCGCGCGCGGCCCTTTTCCCCCTGCCGTGGAGGCCTCTTGCAGAATCCTCTCAAGCGCCCGCTTCGCGGCGGTGAATTCGGATTCCGCGGTGGGGCTCCTTTCGTGCGGATCGTCCGCCTCCGGAGAGTACGGGAGGGGGCCGGCGGAGCACCGCAGCGAAAGGTCGCCCTCACCTTCCAGGTGGCGAACCAACGCGAGGGTGGAGGGCCTCCCGCTAACGGGATCCACGGGCAGCCGCAGCCCCATCGCGCACCGCCTGCAGCGCCATACCGAACGCGGATTGAGCGCCGCCAGGCGCTCGCGCTTTCGTTGGGTTCGCTCCAGGCGAGCTAAGCTGTGGTCCGTCGTCTTTTCTAGGCCGTATGGGCGGATCGCGGCCTCGTCATCTGCCGGGGGCCCCCGTGGCGGGTTCGTTTCCGGAGGTCGATCCTCCCTTGGCGTTTGTGAGCTATGGGGCTCTGGCGGGATAGGGGGGACGGGAGTGCCCGCGTCGCCATCGGCTGCCTCCAAACAAAAGAACGCCCTCGCCCACGCCGTTTTGGCACCCCACTTTTTCTTCGCCGGTGGTAACATCTGATCGACTTCGTTGGAAACACACAAAGAGAATGGAACAAAGGTCACAGAGGGGAAGGGAGGGAGATACCCTTTGACTACTTTTGGTTTCGATATTCAGTGCAAAACGAGTAGTAGGGGATTATTACAGCAGCAGTCGAGATCCACAACAACCCTGTCAAAGGAGATGCTTGACATTCTTTTTTTAAAACCATTGATTGTAATATACCACTGGAACATACGCTCAGCTCCACGAGTGACAACTGCCTCCAACCCGAAAATATCCAGCCTTCTTCTCTTTCGCTAGTTGGTTATTGACTTCAATCAAAGCTTTTCTGAACGAGAGAGGCTGCATATGGAGCCAACATCCTCCTCTGCCTTTGCCTTCTGGGACTTTTTATCTTTTTAGAGGTTGCGTCCCTGTACGTAAGGTTTGGGGATGGGCATGTTCTGCATCGATCCCCGACCCGGCTGCGTGAGCTCCCTCACCGTTCTTTTCTTGCGCGCTATGGAGCCCTTATGAGAATTTTGCACTTTCTGCTTCTTGTGTCCGATTGCGTTCACTTCATCAGCACCATCGCTGCGCCCCACACGATCCTCATTTATTTCCTCGGTATTGTTTTCGTCGTCGTTGTCGTCTAGAAAGGAATCCAAAAGAACTTTTTCATTCCTAGTCAACCGCCGCCGCTGATGGGCCTTGGTGATATCGAGTAGAATATCGGGAGCCATGAGGTAGCGGTCCAGTTCCAGCGTCCTAAGCGCCTCAGTTTGCTCGTGCTCAACACTTTCTTCAATTTCGTGATATGTTGTAGGGCGGCGTCGCGACGTGCTGCTGTCTCGATCCCTCCTACCTTTTGTGAAGTCTGAATCGACGAACGCAAAGTGAATTTGGCTGCGATAATCGTCAGGGTCGAGATGGAGGTCCTCCACAAGGTAGTGAGCGAGTGCAGCAGAGGTGAGCTCGAGGGTTGGCTTGCCATACACTAGGCCCGTGCGCCGCCCAAAGGGAATGCGAAGGTGGCGAATGAAGGGCGAGGTGATATGCGGGATGGCCGAGTCCTCATCATTTTCCTCAAGATCACAAGGATTTTCCCCTTCAACTTCCACGGACGCATCCTCGAGCGCCGGATGCTGGTTGTCGAGCTCGTCCGATTCCTTTTCTCCTGGATTAGGCACTTCAATGCCCGCGTGTTCAGCCACCTGATGAATGAACTCAATGATCTCTTCATGGAGCCAGTTCTTGGGCAAGTTGTACAGCTGAACAGTTACCGTTTCCTGCTGCAGGTCCAGTGCAGATGTTGAAGGGGTCTCTATAGATTCTTGAGTCGAATCGCGCACCATATCATCACTGCTGTACGGCCGCGGATCTGTCTCTGAAGAACTTCGTGCTGCCAACGATGCGGAGGAATAGGGTCTTATCCCGCACCTCAGCGCACTTCCACACGTGGTTGAAGGCCCTGAGATCCATATTGAGCCGTGGATCCATGGCTTAGCCCCACCCCACGGCGCCGCTACTCTATGAGTAGGAACACCAGGCCGCTGGCCGAGGCTCCTCACTAAGCCTTTCAGAGAAGTGAAGTCATCTGTCTTCTTGCCCGTCTGGATTAGTGGCGGGTATACCGTTTGGGATGTGATGGCTTCCGTAGTGAAGCATGGAGCGTAATTTAAGGCTGAGGGGATCGCAAAGGGGCCTTTCCATGCGCAGCGGGTGACCAATTTTTCCCAGCGGAAATATGATGACGCGCTGCGTAACATAGAGTAGTTTTCTAGCGTAGAATATAAATCGAGTTACGCTATATATATATGTGGAAATGAGTATGAAGTCCGAACAGTGAGGGGCAGCAGCAATGCTATTGACAAAGGAATTGAATTAAGCTTTGAGGGTCAACAAGCAGTCTCGGAATACTGCAGTCTTTGCATCACTTTCTGGTAAATTATCCATACTTGGGATCATTTCACTTTTAATAGACTATATATACTACTAACATATTTTTCATTCTAGTCGTTGTCGTTAGGTTCCTTGCATAGCAACCATCACATTGAGCATGATAAACAGCCTGTATATTTAGAGCAGAACGAAGTTTACACGGTTAGACTCATTTCCCAATGCATGGTCATCCTCCAGATGTAGAACATAATATCACACTTTTTTCCTTCACATTTCGTGTTTTTGAGGAGATGAGAAATATTTATCCATTAGAAGAATAAAACTAGCGGTCCAGATTTGCGACCCACTTTTGCAATAAAAGAAAATGCCTACACGGAATTGACGTGAAGAAAATCCCTACTGGTCCTGCCCTGAGGCAATCTTTTACTGGGTTTGATATGTCAATTGATATCAATGTGTTCATGCTAGAATTATGTGCATCTTGTGGTTGTACTGTTGTCTTACATTCCCTGTCTGTCTCAAAAAAATCTGCTCTTTACCTAAATTCCGCGTAACCTTGACGACATTGACATGAATCCCTTCTTTCAGTCTACACTTTAGATCGAGCGAAGCGCATGCTATGATTCTCTGATAGAAACTCACGATTAGTGAAGTTATTTTCATCAACAGTTCCATTACTAGCGACATTTTTTTCATTTTGTGACGCAATGAAACCGGCTTTTAGAAGCAAACTTGCATTGTCTGTCGAACCTGGGTGAAAGAAGTGACATTACTTTGTGAATTTAAGGACTTTGTTCGAAATTCTCAACGTATTCTTTGCTCAGGATTCCAATTTGTCTTGGAATAATACTTTAGTGAGTTGTGTGTGTGAGTGGGGGGAAAGCACCAACGTGGACGAAACTCACTTCTGGTCATGTGTATTTAATTTTGATATGCGTTCAATGGTGAGGAGCAAAGCTTCCCAAATGTCCCTCATGCCCAGGCTGCATGAGAACCCACTTTGATGGAGTGGAAAAGGGGAGTTAAGCAGTGTCCTGAGCGACCATCTACAGCGTATGTTAGAGTGTGTGAGGTTGGACTCTATGCCGCATTTAAGGCGCTTCGATCATAACACAGACGACTAATGGCACCCCAATATATAGGATAAGCAAGATGTTGTGCAAATATTTTAAAATTTACTTCCATTTGATTTCTTACATTGTCTGCTTGAAAATGATGAATCAATCCTTACCCGACAAAAACACAAGGGGAACAATAATCAAAAAATATAATACTCAAGTAACCTATCTAGGGGAGACCAAAAACTAAAAAATATATCTTCCAGTAAGTTGTGCTATGAAGAAACTACAGGAGGAACTTTTTCCACAAATTGATTCTGATCTTATTGTCGTTTTTTTTTTTAACCCTTCCCCCTACCTGAGTTCAAGATTGGGACGATCATTTATTTGCGTAGGATACTATATATCTGCCACGCCATTACTATTAGTTTCTTAAATCCTCATAATTCCTAATGCATGTGAAAATATTAAGTACATATTTGTATTGGATTTATTCTGCTTTTAGCCCCTTTTCCCGACCCATGACTATAGATGCACACGTAGGACGCTTAGGTACAAAAATATAAGTTTTTACGAACATCTCTGTGAAGAGGTAGAAATTACAAATATAGATTATGATCTGAACACGGTTGTTGGCCAAAGACACACCCGGGCACGCCTCTGGCTTAAAATCACCGAGGTACTTCTGATATAACGCATATAGAGAAGTGCACAAACCCAACACCATCTGGAGGATCTGCAGAAGGGTGATGTACATGGCGAAGGGCTTCACGAGACTCTTGTACCCGGCCTCCGCGAGGGCGAAGTAGAAGTACATGATGGTGTGCACGACGTAGTTCATGGAGGCGGCCACGACAAAGATACTAGACCCTTCTTGATAGGCAAACCAAACAAATAAATAGGTAGTGACGTGATGGAACCATGACAGGAACGGCAACCGGCGCTTTCCCGTCAGGATCAGGAAGAAGGTGTCCATGAACTCGGGAACCTTCGAGATGGCAAATATTCCCATTGCAAAACCTACTTCCGTAGTATAGAAGTGCTCTGGGTGAAACGTGCACAGGGTGCCATGTAGTCCGTAATGCCTTAGGTCGCTGATCAACGCCGGTGTTACGCGCAGCGCGCCGTACAATGAAAAGACACTGAGGAGTAGATTCCACAACATCCAGAGCTTTTTAATAATTTTAACTCGACCGGGCGTGAGTGTCATGAGCTTCTCGATCAGAGAAGGACCTATGAAGACGAAGGCGAGATATACTGCTGCGATGTAAATACAAATATCATTGTTCTTTGTAAGCCATTCTTTAAATTTGTATCCATTGAAATGGTTTTTGCCATATTCATCAATGAACTGCATGGAGTATAAGATATAGGTGATTGAAGGATAAACTGTGTGAGTTTATTCAATTTATATTCCTTTCCCTAGAAATTAGTGTGTAGTGAATTTATTCGTGTAAACGTAATTCGCGTAAAAGTATGAAGTCCACGTAAATCTTCACAAACACACGAAAAACGGATCTACTGATTTTTATCTTCGTTCTAGTTATCCTTTTTTAGTCCGGTAAAGTAATAATGTCAACAATATTTCCTTCAATAGTATTACTGGTAGATGTGCATATAATTGTGTTGGAAATCCTGGTAACAAAAAGAACACAGATGACAGCAACGAGAAATGAATAAATTAAACATTATAAATGATAAAATGAGAATCAGAAGTTTTCAAAGGTTATCATCATTAAATTAAGATTGAATTTATTATCATCTAATGGGCAGGCGCGGAAAATAACTAAATTGATAATAATGATAGAATATTTGGTTACACATATGAGGCCGAATTTTATATAGCATTCTTATGTTTGAAAAATTCTTTGAATAAATACTACTTTTTCTTCATTACAAGAAGTACTCAAATAAAAAATCGATAAATATATAAGATAACAGTAATAATCAATATCACTATATAAGACAACCACTAAGCATTCCACAAAAACTTTACGCAACATCACCTCATTAATTATGCTTGGAAATTCTTTATTATGTATGAGCACATATAGAACAGTAGTCATATAGATAAGAATTCAGGCGTAGAGAGTAATGTAGAACGGATGTGACATCGTGGAAAATAAATTTTTACACCTACCTTTTTTCCACTGAATGTAGTTCATGCTTATCATGGGAAAAAATCTTTTCCTATTTAATTTTTCCTTTTTACAGTTCTTATGAAGCGGCAGATTCTTAGACATTTATGAATGACATTAAGACATAGCAACAAGACTCAGTAGAAAGAAAAAAGGGTATACTTTCATATATAATGTATATAGATCAGCAATATTTTTCCAGATATCGATTTGGGCATGCTTTCTACATGTTTTCTCTCACTTACTATATTATGTCAAAGTTATAAAAAACTCGTATATGCAAATATACTTTCTTTCTTTGTGATTTTAAGCTTTTTTTTAGTTTCTCAAATAAAACAGATCCGCTAAAATTTTTAAGACAAAAAGTATTAACAAAGAAAGATCAAATAAATGATATATATTGTACATGTAGAATACAAGGAACAGATTCAAATTTTAACAATTTTCGCAGTAAACAATATTGTCTCTCCTTGGAAAAAAAGAGAATTATAGAGTCCTGCAGCTTTTTCAGAGCCCTCTAACAGTTCTTTACACTTCACAAGATTAAACACAATCCTTCCTTAAAGAAAAAAACTTTGCACATGTAAACAGAAGCAAGAAATGATTATAACACTTGAGTGTAAATAAAGGTTAAAAGTAAAAAAAACAAATGGGTTAAAACATCGGAAAACACTGAGTCGAACATGCCGACTTTTTATCTTTACGTGCCACGATGCGGTCAACAGGAGGTGTTTGGTCATTAATATCCTTCGGAGTTTAGTCCCTCTTGCTACCCCCCTGCACGGGCACCTGCTTGGGTGGGAGGACGTAGTTCTCGACAAACATTTTGGAGAATAAATAAAAGCAGAAGGCGTAAATTACCATTTGGCCACGCGCAAGCGCCATCGTCGCGCCTTCACAGCCGGTGCCATTGTTCTCGGACTTATAAATGATAAAGGCGCTCGTCATGTACAGGCCGCCGATCATCTGGAGGATCTGCAGAAGGGTGATGTACATGGCGAAGGGCTTCACGAGACTCTTGTACCCAGCCTCCGCGAGGGCGAAGTAGAAGTACATGATGGTGTGCACGACGTAGTTCATGGAGGCAAAGATGATAAGGATGCTGGAGCCCTGCTGGTACGCGTACCAGCAATAGATAAAGATGGTGACGTGATGGAACCATGACAGGAACGGCAACCGGCGCTTTCCCGTCAGGATCAGGAAGAAGGTGTCCATGAACTCGGGGAACTTCGAGATGGCGAACATTGCCATTGCAAAGCCATACCTGGACGAGAAGAATTCATCCTCCTTCAGCGTGCAGAGGGTGTCGCGCATGCCACGTTCCTTGAAGTTCCTAATCAGCAGGGGGGTGATGTGCAGCGAGCCGTACAGCGAGAACACCGACAACAGCAGATTCCACACCGCCCAGAACTTCTTTATAATCGCAATGGAGGCTTTGGTCTGCGGCACCACCTTCGCGACCAAGTCGGGGCCTTTGAAGACGAAGGCGAGGTAAAGACCAGCGATGTAAATGCAGATGTCCGCGTGCTGGGTCAACCAGTCCTGGATGACATGGCCATTGAAGTGCTTATCCACGTACTGGTCAATGTACTCCATGTCTTTCGTCGAGTGTTGTCAGCGAATGGATGAATCGTAGATATTGAACAGTTTCGTGTGTCGTAGGAACGGGCGGAGTGATATCTGGATGCTTTAGTCTTAAAATTTCTCTTATTGGAATACGCGAGCGGAGTAGAAGGGTTAATCCAACCTAAAATAAGTCCTTAATGTGCGTTTATAGTGCTACGAGAAGGAGGAGGAAATATTACAGTTGAGGTGTTAGGGGCAACATTTAAAATTAGAGAGGAATACCATGACACCGTGAAGAACAATCAGCAAACGAATTCTACGAAACTCCCCTGTCTCACAAAAATGAAAGGATGATCAAGAAAAGGATCCCTATTGATGACTATGCTGATTCATCTTTACCTTTTCGCTATACTATTTCCTGGTAGATTGAATGTAGAGGCTAGTATCATTAAAAAGTAAGCGATAAATCATCATTACATGCTTTAATATTTGCCATCCCTCTTAGCATTACACACACACATGTATATACGTATATATATATAACCTGACAACTAAGCTATACAACCCACTTAAATAATACAACCAGTGAAAGCAAAAGAAAAATGGAGAATCGGTTTCATCACTTCCAAGAGATTTCCGCTAAGTTCCAGTACCAACGCAACACATTCAGACCCTATTCATGACAAGGTGCCCCAAATTTGCTAATTCATTTGAGCTCGCAATCGGAGTGTTTATTTGCTGATCTCCCTCCTCCCCTCTCGGACACTTGCACTTGAAGAGTGGGAATGCGGACCAGGTCCTCCGATGGAAACCCACCCTGTGCGGAAAGCGACTAGATGGACAGGGGCGGAGGGCACCTCTCTCTCTCTCTCCAAACCTAGCACAGGAAACACGGCTCAGTATTCCTACATGGATAGGACAAGGATAGCGTTGAGTAATTTGGGGCATTCTGAGTGTTGCGATACTATCTCACACGATTAATTTGGACTGGACTTGAAATTGATCTTAATAGTATTTTTGACAATTTTAATCCATAATTGTCGTTATGATTCTCAGTATTAAGCGAACAGTCTTTTCTTGATGAATTTTTTGGTTTTCTTAAGCATATTTTTTTCCTTTATGGTCTTGTTATCGATGGCCATATAAGGTATGTACAAAAATGTGCTAGATAATTTTTTTTTTATGTTGAGTGACCAATATATTAAATATTAATAAGATGAAATTACATCAAGAAATTTAGGGTGCTTTTTTTTTATATAAATATATAAAGTTGCTTTTTTTGAGCTCATAAAGAAGCTTGGTGAAAATTTTCCTATGTACTATTTATATTTAGCTTTTCATTTAAGTTAAAGTTCACTTCGTGAGGAATCTTTAATTAAATAAAGGTATATTTTTTCCAATTTTTTCTTGACTAATTTTACTTGATTCGCAAAAGGAACAAGGTAGCGAAGCTACACAACATTCTATCTATATTTCCCTTTAGCAAATCACAGCTAATAATATGAGAAGCGCTCAAAAATATCCTAACTCTTCGATTTGATTCGCAAACATAGGTAAGGACTTATAAAACGGGTAAAGATACGCAAAATATAATTCATTTCGTCCATTTTGATTTCTCTTATAGCTTGGTGCTTAATTTATTGAGGGAGCAATATAAACCAGCGTAAGTAAAGGTGCGCATTAAAAGTTTAAACTCATACACTTTCGGTTTCGTTCAAGTCACCTTTTAAATAAGATTTTTGAGTACCATTTTTTTTTACTTGTTCTTTTCCGATAACAATGGCTTATTTTTTTGATTTCGAAAATATGACTTAATAAACAGATTCATGAACATGATCAGATTTACAACAACTATGAAGAGATGTAGTCGCAAATCGCTCCACGTTGTACCCGAACATGACTCGGGCTCTTTATCAGCGCGGTTGTTGAAATAATCATGCAATTTGTAAGTTAACAAGAGGAGTGTCAAAATTGTTCCCAACACCATCTGGAGGATCTGCAGAAGGGTGATGTACATGGCGAAGGGCTTCACGAGACTCTTGTACCCGGCCTCCGCGAGGGCGAAGTAGAAGTACATGATGGTGTGCACCGTGTAATTGAGGGCCGCGGCAAACTGCAGCGCACTGCTGCCGACCGCGTAGGCGTGCCAGGTGAACAAAAAAGTCGTGACGTGGTGGAACCACTGCTGGAAGGAGAGTGAGCGCTTTCCAGAGAGGAGGAGGAGCGCGCTGTCGATGAATTCCGGCCCCTTGGAGAGGGCGAAGAGGCCGATCGCCATGCCGGTGGTGCCGCGGTAGAAGTCGTTCTCGTCGAGGGTGCAGAGGGTGTGGCGGAGGCCGTGGTCGTGGATGTGGCGCAGGAGCACCGGCGTCACGCGCGTCGTGCCGTAGAGTGAGAAAACCGACAGGGAAAGGTTCCACATCGTCCAGAGCGCGCGCAGCCAGGCCGGTTTGGAGGCCGTGCCACCCTTTTCCGACCGTCCAAGCAGTGCGGCTCCTTTGAAGGTGAGTGTGAGGTACAGCCCTGCGGCGAACATCGCCACGTCCACGTTGCGAATCAACCAGTCCCGCACCGCGTAGCCGTCGTAGGTGGTCTCGCCATAATGATCCATATACTCTACTATACCCATTTTCGCCTTGTTATTGTTTAGAAATATATATATCTATATATATATCTATCTATCTATATATATATATATATATATTGGTGTGCTTTATTTTTTTTTTGAATACAAAAATTCTTTTTTTTTGGAACTTTGAGGAATAGGATATATGTTGGTATGTATACTTAAACACTTTGGATGCAATAAAGTTGGTAATGTTGCACTGTAAACGCGTCCAATAGAAGAGAGGAAATATTTGAGTATACCCCAACACACGCACATATTCCACTTAGCAGGTAGTTTGGAATCAAGGGAAGCCTACCATACACATCTGCGAAGCGGGTAATGCAGAAACGTTCAGAATGCCTTGATAGAAAACATCTGAAGTATAACGTTTGTTTCCAACTCTTCGCAAAGCTTCTTTTACAATTATATTTACCTATACATTATAAATGTATTTGTTTTAAATCTACCGCACACTCAAAAAAAAATAAGATGCAAATTGATTCGCAAAACATTAATCAGTGCTTACTTTTCACTTTTCTCTCTTTTCGTTTTTTGGAAATCACAGAGACGATTATACCTGAGAGAGGACAAGCAAAGGATTCCGTGCAGCTTAGGGTAGCATGTAATTACCTCTCTTTTTCTATTAACTGTGTGCTTGCCTTTAGGAATGGATTATCGAATGTTACACATCACTGCTTAAATTTTAGAATCAAAATACATCACTCCTTAGTTTATTATTTTAAGTTACAATGATAATATATATCGTTGTAACCCTTGCATTACTGAATATATATCCACGTTTTCATACATAAATAATCATATGCATATTAGCTTCATCATCTTTTCTATACATTCGTGGAAGTTTCAGATGCAATAGGTATTTATTTCGAAGAAAGAGCCCAGAAGAACGGAATCCACACCATGCGTTACTCCAACTACAAACTCAGACTCATACTCGATAAAAACAATATTATTTGTACTAATTATAAAAGAATGCATTTCCGATGATGTTTTACCTTTTTTTTTCTGGCGTCAGAACGTTCATGAGGCCTACAAATGTTTTCCCTTTACCACCCCGACCTTCTCAAAGGTTTGCTTAATAGACAACACTATTCTATGATTTTGGCCTGATAATGACTTCCCCTCTTTCGCGATTCTCTATTTACAAAACGACTGTCAAAGACTATGCACGGCTTTCCTGCCTCATCACGTCCTACGTTGTTCAACATCGTTTATAGTTCCTTCTTCGGTGTCATGTAGGACTGCACATACATCTTGCAGAACAGGTAAAGATAGCTGAGGTACATGATGCACCCAAAGCGTGCCGTGGATTTGTTGACCGCACAGGGCAGTTTATCAATGTCATCGATACCTTTCCTGTACGCAGACATATTAATATAGTAGGAATAGAACGTCAATGCGGAACCGACGACCATCTGGAGTATCTGAAGCATCGTAATGAACTTTGAGAAGCGTCGGACCAACTTCTTCCAGCCCATGGAGCAGATGAAAAAGTAGCTATACATGATCGTATGCACAAAGATGTTCATGCAGGCGAACATGCTCATCGTCGAATTCCCCATGGAGTAGCTGAACCAGGAGAAGATCAGCACCGAAGCGTGGTGGAACCAGTGTAGGAAGGACGGCGTTTTTCGCTTTTCGAGGATCAACCAGAGCGTATCCACGAGCTCCGGGATCTTGCTGAGCACAAAGATCCCCGTCCAGGCTCCCACGGGCGACCTGTAGGTGAGCTCGTCGTGGTCCGCGCAGACGGTGTTGTGGAGACCATACCGAAAGACCCCCTGCACGAGCCCGGGCACCATCACCACCGCCCCGAAAAACGAAAACGACGCCAACAACAGGTTCCACAGCGTCATGCACATCTGAAGCCATCGCGGGGGTTTCGCGGGGATTTTCTTTCCGGAGGAGCTGACGGTGGGCGGCGGGAGCTCTCCCAGCAGGCGGCGCGCGAGCCCCGGACCGTAGCGCACCATCCCGAGGTAGGCAAAGACGAGATAGGCGACGAGATCCGCTTGATTATTCATGAAGCGTTGCAACTCACGGCCTTGAACCACTTCTTCCCACGGAAACATGATGACTTAGGGGTTTTAATCAAGTTCTTTTTCCTTTCTTAATGCTTATTTTATATGGAATTATCTCTGTGGTTAGCTTGGCTTCTTCCCACAGGTATGTAAACAGCCAAAAGAGACAAACAACAGGGAAACCGCAAGAGGGATCAGCAATTGGGGAAATTTGTAGTATCACATGATATTCTCCATTTAGGAAAGAGGCAGAGGGTCCCTTCCCCCCTACCTCCATTATAGGCCCTATGCTACCTGCTTATAATCAGAAACACGAATTTTCTTTACATTCAAGCAAGATCCTTTAACGCTTCCTACATCAATGAAGATTATATAGCGAAGACTTAAAAAGTTATGTTATCTTAACTTTACGCACTGTTATTATTATTACCGTTGTCATCTTTTTATTCAAATTGCAACAAAGCGGAGAGAAATGTATCCTAAAACAACTTTAATGTCACCCCTTAAAGGGATTAAAACACCAACATGGCCCCCCGAAAGATTACTTAAAGTGAGTTTTGCACCACTATTCCTTCAATAATTTTTAAAGCTATCCACTCTTTCTCGGTCGTCCAAGGGGCCTTTTCAAACTCTTACACGTAAAGTGATCGTATATACCACAATCGGTATTAAGAATAGTGTTTAGAATATAAACCAAGCAGACACGTAGTAAAACAAAAAAACATATTGACTAAGGTGTGTAAACGCGATGTCATGCATTTCGTGTACAATATAAACCCATCCTTAAAAAATTTCAACAGCTTCTTTTTTCTATGAGAAGAGCCCTTGCTTCGGAGCTCCTTCTGGAAGAGGCACGCATATGAGTATAGAAAATGTAAAGGTACGATGGTTATCACATGGAATAACATAATTATAAAAAAAACACATAAGCCTTCCCCAGTAATCGTGGCAGGGTGTGGTTTAACTAATAACAGACAAGAGAATTTCACGAGTACAACTGTTTCGTATTGTGTGTCTCATTAACACTTTCTCTCCCGAAGTTTTAAGAAAATGATTCACAATAATTATCACAATTACATTTCTTTTTTTTCTCCCATAAATATCGCCATTATTATTCGTGATTTTCATTCTTATGTATTCATGATTTCCACGATTCAATACAGATTCCGTCTCAGCTCTTTGGCTATTGTGTTCCGATTCATCCCGTGCAACACTTCACACTTGAAGGCAAAAGAAACAGATGGGAGAAAACCACTGCTTTAGAAATCGCAGCGTATGAGGCATAACATTAGTAATTTTATCAATAAAGCTCCCTCTTTCACCTTAAAAATATAAATAAATTTTATCCGTATGCCCTAGGGAGACAGCAGCAACTCTTGCCCACCGAATTCTCTAACGGACACACTTTTCTACCACGATAGAATCCACTAAAGGCTTGACTTGGTTCAATGGTTCTCAACATTTTTTTTAGTAGCGAGATACGCGGTTATGAATGAAGAAAGAGCACCAAAGAAATGCAAGCTCTTTAAATCAATCATGTGCGGAGAGGAAGATAGAGCGTGGGAAGCTTAAGGCCTAGGTTGAGCCCAAAGAGAGGAAGTCAAGGCCAACAATTGATGCTACACTCTTCATCGTTTATATTATAGATAATCTAATCCAAAATATAGTGACTAAGTTATAATTTTATTGAAATTGGAATAGATTATTTATCTAATGTATTCCAATATCGTCGCTCCTTTTCTGGAGGAAAAATAAATAAGCCAACAATTTAATCAATCAAGAACATCCATCCCCTTCGGGTCCTTCTTTTTTTCCCGTTCGCTAGCGACATGATTCCTCCGCCTTCTTTTTCTTTCATATTATTATTTTTCTCACGCATTTTTCTTGTTTGCCACTCCTCCCTTTATCTTTCCATTTGAGGGGATCGACAAGTGCCCGTTCTTCCGTGGGACTCGTGGGCTCCCATTTGTCGTTGGGTCCTTCACGGGATCCTTCGCCCTGCAGAGGTAGTTTTCGTAAAACAGCTTCACAAAGAGGGCGAGGTAGGAAAGATACATCACCAGTCCTAGACGGCTATTCTGCCGACTCACATCACACCCTCTCGCAGAGTAGGTGGAAAGGTAGTACGTAGCGAGCTCGATGATGACGCCTAGCACCATCTGGAGGATCTGAAGAAAGGTGATTAGCGGCGCGATGGGGCGAATATAGCGGCGGAGTCCGCATGCGCAGAGAAAGTAGTAAAAGTACATCACGCTGTGCACGGCGTAGTTCATCACCGCGAAGACGAGCCCGCTGCTGATCTTGTTAGTGTAGGCATGCCAGCCGTAGAGCATCACGGTGACGTGGTGATACCAGTGCAAGAAGATGAAGGACTTCTTTTGCGCAACTAAAAAGACAGTGTCAATCGTCTCAAACAGCTTGCTGAGGATAAACGACAGGACGAAAAAGCCAACCGGGCCGTTGAAGAATTTATCCTCGTTCCACACACACACGACGGGGTACCAAGCCTCGGAGATTTGCTTTGCTGTTCCCAATACCGTATCCGCGCGCATGGGTGAGTGCGAGGCGGCGGCGCTGTAAAACATTTCGAATAAACGAATCCCCGTGTAGTAAACCCCCATTACGGAGTACACCGTCAGCAGGAGATTCCAGGCGCGGTTGAGGTGAATCAGGTTAAACGGCCTACGGTGTTTCATCACGTGCTCAGGGACATAGAGGACGATCACAAGATAGAGGATGGTAACAAACACGGGAACCTCGAGGTGCTCCGACATCCATTCCTTGTAGATTTCCCCTTTGAAGCCATCGAGCCAGCTGTTGTAGATGTGAAAAAATCGCGAGAGGATGTTGTCCATGGCCGAATTTTCAATTCTTCTATTTTGTTAATATATGTTTTTACCCCTCCCTCCGCTTGAAAGGTGTGAATACTCTGTTAATGTGGTTTTGTTTTTTACTACGATAGACAAGGAAGAATCACAGTTGACGTGCTATCAACTCTATAAAATTATTCGCCCTTGAAAGAGGCCTTAAATAGTTTCGGCACGTATACACAGTAATTCTAAAAAAGGAGGACTTTACACATATGAATATGCACGTAAACATACATATAGGTATATGTGTATAGGGAGAGATAGAAGGCAGAATCTTAAAGCAACATTTATGCATTAACTCCTGACGCTCATAGCGACAAATTAGAGGTTAGAAGTCAGAAAACGAGTGAAACGTCAGCAATCACATTCTACGAATGATAAACTCCTAATCGATCAATGTTTGATAATTTGAGGAGCGAATCGGGCTATTAAAAACACAATTTTAGTATACGTATAAAGTTTTATGTATTTCACTGACAATTCATTACGAATATTATGCATTGATGATCGAATAATTAGTAGAAAAGTTCCAGTAATGCAGTTGCTACGAATGGTCGGAATGAGACGCAACTTTTTACGATGAAAAGATACGAATGAATTGCATGAAGTGTGATTATATGTGCTGACTTCAGTAAAACAAAAAACTCAGATCTTGAAACAAAGCCATTGATTCATTGTAGATAGAGTCTTATATGATATATATATATATATATATATGTATATAAATGTACATGCATTGAAGTGTAGTATATGACCACCACGGCTGGGGTCTGACAAAAGTCCGAAGAACTAGAGGAGACATTAAGTTTCCGCTTGTTATATCTAGAATTAAGCGAAAAAATATCAAGCAAAAAACATCTGCACAGAGAAAAGACAAGGTGAGGAATGTTTACAAGTTTTGCTCAATTGTAAATCGCTGATAAACAGAAAAATTACATGAATCGCTCTCCCCCTTCTTCCCCCCCTCCCCAAATACCTTTCCGTCTCCCAAAGCCCAAAGTCAAGAACATTCAAAGTTCACGACGCATCACAATAGCGATATTTATCACGAAGAAATAAACCTAATCAATTATTGTGAATATACGAGTGCAGAGTCATGCATTCGTAAATTCATTTAATCGTTATCAAATTCTATATGCTGCACATTATTGATGATTTAGCTATAGCACTTTTTTACCATTTAGGGATTTCAATGATTTTTCTTGTTTCAATGGCATGTCCATTTTGTCGGCACCCTTTTTGGAATTGTTTCCGCCATTCCAAATGTACAGTTTCATAAATAGATTCATGAAAAGAAGGCAATATGTGCCGTAGATCGCGAACCCCAGCCGAATCGATCCCCGATGAGTCTTGCACCCCGAAGTACTAATATAAGTATTGTAAAAGTTATATAGTACAATAGCAATGCCTATGAACATCTGCAGAAGCTGCGCACCCGTGATGAGGGGCGCAACCGGATGGACCAACTTACGAAGGCCTATTGAACATAAAAAGTAGTACAGATACATCCCCGAGTGCACGATGTAATTCATCGTCGAGAACAATAAACCAGACGGAGCGAATGCCTCTGCCGCGTTCCAGCAGAAGATCATCACTGTCAGATGGTGGAACCAATGCAAAAAAATAACCGGCTTTTTCTGCAGAATCAGTAATACAGTATCGATTGCTTCTGGAAACTTACTGATAAGGAACGCAAAAAACCAGAACGCGATCTCCCCCTCGTAGACAATATGGCGGTCAAAAACACACATCGTTTTATAAAAGCCACGGTCTCGGAACAGGAACGCCATTGTCCTCGTAGTCGAGATGGCGCCTAGGGTAGAGAAGGTCGTTAGAAATAGGTTCCACCCAGCTAAAACAGGTCTCAGTTGCATCGGCTTCCGATTCTCCATCCACTTTGGGCCGTAGTATATCAACATCGCGTATAGTATCTCGCAATAGATTAAAACGTCAAACCATTTGTTGAAGAAGTATTCAACAAAATCACCAGGAAATTTTTCCGGCAGACCAGCGAAGTTAGTGAGTGTCATTGACGATGAACAGGCACTCACACAGTTTTGATTAAGGTATAATTGAGTGAATATATATATATATAATTTAGCGTCTATAGAAAACCTTAACACACTCGCCAAAAAAGTAGCATACATAGATGCAATGTAAAACAAGAAGGAACATATGCAAAATAATATAGAAAAAAGTAAGTCATTTCTTGTGAGCATCACTGTGATGCGTCCAGCAAAGCAATCAATCTTCGAATTCCTCGCATTAGGAAACAGAAAGAGTGAGATGATGATCCACACGGGATAAAAGCAAAACAGGGGGTGGGTGATATAGCTTTGAAAGAAATTACCCCTCCCCCCCACCCTACACATTCTTCCGCGTGAGAACCAACGCACATCACCCTTTCCACATGCGGGGCTTCCTTTGGGTTTGATCCCTTCGCCTTATTTTTTCGTTTTTTCGAGGCCTCGCTAACGAATTACCACTTATTACTATTACTTGTGATTTTATTCCTTTTTTAAAACTAGCGATCCCCCTTTAAAATCGCCCCTCCACAACACAGGTAGGCGTCTCACACGTTAGCACTGCGGCTCCGAGACGTTTCCGTTTGGTTCTCATCCCATCGATGCACGTCTGCCTCCCTATTCTTTGTAATTCGGCTCACGCCATCACGCTGGAAATCCACACTGGGTACTTGCCAAATCTGCATATATATATATATATATATATATATACATCGATGTACATATACAGGGATATCGATGTATTTTTCCTTTTGGCAAATGACACGAAGAAAGAAGAAAGTCCGTGACCCAAGCAGTCCCCCCTTTGGCGTCCTTTCGGGACGCGATGCACGGGTTGGGCCGCTTGATCAAGACCGGACGACCCCGACCAGAGAGGAGAGGCTACATCAATAAACACGCGAAGAGAAGCGAAGCCGGGGAGATCCCGTTTTGGATGCCCCCCCTTCCCCTCTTTACACCCCCCACCCACTGTTACCCTTCACCTCTTTTTTCAACCTCCTTCACCGCTGATACGAGGGCTTCGTGCGGCGTCTCGCAGGGAGGTCGAGGGGCCCTCCGTGGGTCCTTCCGCCACGCGGTGGATCGGATCCTTCGGGGGATCCGGTTCCTCCTCGTCGTCGTAGCGCGCCCGTTTCCGCGCCATCCGCTTCACCAGCCGCCGCCGACGACGGCCGGACTTTTTGAGTTTCTCCCGAGCCGACGCCAAGGGGCTGCCGCCGCCTTTCCGACCCTCCATCCCCATCCCCCGCTCACCCTCCCCGTTCTCGTCCTCGGAGGCGGAGGTTTCGTCGGTTTCATCTTTTTCGTCGTCCTCGTCGCTGGGGGGGGGGGCTGAAAGGGAATCCTCCCCTCCTTCCCGTTCCCGTTCCCGTTCCCCTTCTCCTGCCTCCTTTTCCGTTTCTTCGGCGTCTTCGTCGGGGTGGGGAGTGGACGAGGCCGCGGCAGGGCGGGCGCGCGTTTCCGCGGATTTCGCCGGCGATCCCCGCAAAGGGGGGTGGGGAGGGGAGCCGGGGCTCACCGGGCGCCGCCGCGGCGAGGGCGTTTTCGGCGGCCC